GGTGGAGGGAAGCATGGGGTCTTTTCACACCCCTGTTCTCTGTTCACCATCTGGGGTCGGGGGCTGGGGGGGGCTGGCCGTCCGGTTGGGGTCTGGGCTGGTGGGCTTCTCGGCTGCTGCGGGGTCCGGGGTGGTCTTCTTGTCCCCACGCCAGAGGAAAAAAAAGGGGTCCATCTCCGAGGTCTGGTGGCGGATTGCCCCTCTGGGGGTGGTGGTGCCTGGATCTCGGAGGATAGAGTATATATGGGGAGTGTGAGTGTGTGTACGGCGTTCATTTCTGTGTGTCTCCATGTTGGGCGCATGGGTGAATATTTGTTTATGTGCGCATGAGGGTGGGAACGTATGCTTGTGTATGTGTACGTCTGTTTGTCTTTATGCAGGTGTCAGGTTGGGTCTTGCACTCCACCTGGAATAACATCTCAGGCTCTGTTGCCCCCCCCCCCACACTCCCTGCCGGTGGATGAGGCCCCCGGCTGTCGATGCGTTGGGGGTTCTCGATGTCCGGGGCTGGATGCTCTGGTGTGTGCTGGCTCACTCTCGGCGGTTGCCTGCCGGGGCCTGGCCCTTCCAGCTCTGTCGGGGCCCTGGCTGGGGGGTGGGGGGGCCCTTGGATCTCTGGGCCCAGGGCCCGGTCTGCCCTGGTGTGGCCGGCCGCTGGCGGGGCCTGCGTGCTCGCCGCCACGGCCCCCTGGGGCTCCTGCGATGTGGCTGCCGGATGGCCTCCCTCCGGAGCGCTCCTCTGCCCTTTTCTGGGTGGGGGCTGCAATTGTCCCTGCGGTGGTCCTCCTGGGGTTCCCGTGCCCTGTGGGGCCTCTGGATGTTTAGGGCCCGGGTCTCCTCTGTGTCGACTTCATGTCCTGGGTGGGCGGGGCTGTGGCTCCCCACACACACTACTAGACATTTACATGGAGAAACCTTAGGAACACCAGCATGCTGACACACACAGGTGTGCACACAGGTGCTCACGGACGCGTGTTCACGGACACACACTGTCTTGATCAGTTGTTGCTTCTGGGCATGTGTTGTAATGCTGTTTGTGCGTGCTGTTCAACAACATTTAACGTTTGATGGTCGTTGTGATTAGTACAGATGTTGTATGTTGTCTTTCTCTTTTCAGCAGACATGGAAGCAGATTATCTGTTTTGTTTTTTTCTTTTCTCCCCTTTTTTTTTTTCCTCTCTCCCTCTCTCTCTTTCCCCCTTCTTCTCCTTTGTTTCCCCCCTTCTCTCTCCCTCGCCTTCTCTTGAGGAAGTAAATAATAAAAAAATAATAATAAATAAATAAATAAATAAATAAAACGAAAATAAATAAATAAATACAAATAAAGTAGTCCTCCACAGAGGTGGTGGGGGGAGTAAAAAAAAGAAAAAAGATAAAGCATAGAGATAAGAAACCTGCCCCCAGGTACTCTGATCATACGAGTGAACTTAAACAGGCATCACGCAAGCTAGAGCACAAATGGTGCTCAACTAAACTAGAAGTTTTCAGATCTGCCTGAACAGAGAACCTCTCTAAGGACAAACAAGCACTAGTGACTGTGAGATCTGTGTACCTCTCCAGACTAATTGAAGAGAACAAAAATAATCCTAAATTACTAAATTAAAATAACTAAAATTAGACAGACCATCCAGTGCATGTCTGTTGCTACATACATATAGCTGCCAGCCTCCTGCTATTCCTATGCGCACTGATAATATGACCTTGAATCTTTTCTTCCTATAAAACAATCGGAACTTTTGAGCTTATCTATTAAGCCGGATGATGCATCACAGCTCTCTGGGTTAGAAGACTGTCTTCTAACCCAGTGTTTATTTGTTGAAAAAATTTAAATGAGTATGTGAACAGTGATTTGGCGAAGCCCGTCTCTTGGTCGTTGGTTCCATCGACTCTGAAGCTGACAGATCTGGCTGGGCGATCAGGCAGGAGGCGAAGGAGACACGAAAAGTCCACCAGAGAGTGCAGCCGGAACAGCAGAGACTAGTGAGAACTCCGCAGAAGTCGGTCGTGCATCCGGCAGGCCGAGCCTGTTGGCCGGAATGGGCTCCAAGCAAGCCGGAAGCCGCAGCGAGGACCTCCAGGCGTGCAGGCGATTACCCGAGGACTCCATGGTGCTGGATGGCAAATAACACTGCACAACAATTTTTTTGAAAAGTTTTGCTTCCTGAAAAGTTTTTGCTGATTGTGACAGTTACCTGGTGGGTATGCACAAATATAGTTTTGGTTTTGTTGCATCACGTAGGAACTCTGAGACACAGACAATTGACTATTTAGCGGCAATAACGTATTTAATCACGTTTATGATTCTCATACGCTATTAAGTTCAACATAATTAGAAGCATTTTGCTCTTGATTTTCATTTATATTCAATATCAGGTGCATCCCGTTGCAGTGTCCAACAGTAATTTTCATATCTGGTGACAGCAAACACCATTCTTGCAGTCTTGAACCCAGGAATTCAGCTTTTGTTCTCAACAGACCCAAGTCTCTGACAAGATCATTTAATTCTGACTGTGTTATGAGATGTGGATCACCTGATGAGGAGGTTAGGAGCATGCACTGATTACAATGCGTTGTCACACCCACCACATGACACTCAGGTGATCAGGGATGAGAACCTGAGTGCAGCCATGTGGCAGGTGATACCTCAGCATCACACTAGTCCAAATAGACCAGCGGGAGGTTTTGTCCAGAGGCTTACACACATTCACACTCCCCATATATACTCTATCCTCCGAGATCCAGGCACCACCACCCCCAGAGGAGTGCCAATCCTTCCACCAACCCCCAAGTTATTCCCTGCAAGTTAGAGGACCTCCTTGCAGGACCTTGTAGTTTAACATCATATCCTGGGTGAAACAGTTGCAGGTTAAGGGCCTTGCTCAAGGGTCCAACAGAGTAGAATCAGTCAGGGCATTCATGGGATTTGAACCCACAACCTTCTGATTATTGGTACAGAACCTCAGAGCCACCACTCCGATGAGCACAGTTCAAAATTCGGATCATTGTCACTGCCAGTTCCCTGCATTGCAATTTCTTCATCTGGCTCGTCTAAGGTCCATTCCTCTGGTGGTTTCGGAATTGGAAGACTGTTGTCATTGCGGGTCTCATTGCTGACGGCACATTAGGGTATTCAATTGACTTCTTGAAACCAGACATATTAGTCAAATAGAAGTAACAGTCCCTCACATGGTCCTTCTGTTCTTGCCATATAATCAGGACAGAAAACGACATTGTCTTTCGAGTGCCTCTGAGGCAGGGTCTCAGACAAATAGCACATGTCGCACAACAATGTGAGGCCCCCATTACTTGTCTTGATCACTGATTTTACAGCTGTACAGATGATATGTTTTCTTCACAAGAGCAGTCATTGACCATCTGTGAGGAGCAAGCGTATATTCGTAACAAAAGCAGAATGTACAGTATTGCTGTTGTTAAGACATTGATGACATATTGACCAACACCAGTCGTCCTGCAAACGTCTATAGCATCTACCTTACTTGTTACATTGCTGCTGAGGCAATGCAATGTTCTGAAACAATGCATACACACTATCATATCACTATCTATATTAACCCAATGAGCACTTTTATAGCCTGCTGAGGCAGTGTCAAGCTGGCTCCGGCCTACCCAGGCATGCCTGAGCTGCAAACTTTCACAGTTTCTAGCCTGGCCTGATTCCATGCCTGGACATTACCAGACTGTACAAAACGTTGTTGATAGGTCTCTTAAAGAAACAAAAATTTTTGGACACAAATATAAGAAAAAAAACAAGACAAAACTGAAGATTTCGATGAAACGGTAAGTGATGGGCAAATTTGGATGTGATTTTCGTGATCAACAGCCAAAAAACTATAAGGAACACCCAATACTGTTCAAGAAGCAAAAACCTTGTTGTGCAGTGTAATTTCTTTACGTTAAACACAGAAAATACAGAAGTACTGTTAATTGGTCCCAAGGCTGCTCAAAATAAGTTTGACAACCTCAACCTCGTTGATCTCCCTACCCAACCTAACACAGGGGTCATAGATCTTGGTGTTCTGCTTGATTCAGATTTATGTTTCAATCCTCACATAAAAAGTATCACTAGAGCTGCGTTCTATCATCTACAGAACATAGCCAAGCTTCGGAATATGCTCTCCTTTCATGATGCAGAAAACTAATTCATGCCATTATATCTTTCGGACTGGGCTACTGTAATTCTGTTCTTTCTGGGTTCCCATCTGGATCCTTACATAAACTTCAGCTGGTACAAAATGCAACAGCCAGAGTTCTTACAAACACTAAAAAATGTGATCATATTAGCCCTGTTCTATGCTCCCTTCACTTATACCTTAATAATCTGCTGGCCTTATACAACCCTCCTCGCTTTCTTCAATCTCAAGGAGCAGGGTATCTGTTAGTACCCAGGATAGAAAGAGCTACGGCAGGCTGCAGAGCTTTCTCCTATAGAGCTCCTCAGCTGTGGAATGGTTTTCCACCGGATGTGCGGGACTCAGGCTCACTCTCAATATTCAAGTCCAGGCTAAAAACACACCTGTTTAGTTTAGCTTATAGGGACACTAGTTCTAGCTCTAGCTAACTCCTCACTCCCAGTTAGACCTATAGTGTGAGGTGTAGAGCTGGGTGGGGATCGGTGCCATTGACTTTGGATGAACTGACCTGTCAGTCTGTCAATCTAGCTTCACACCCCCTTGTGGAATTGGAGTGCTGATGTTCAGGGACTCCCCATGCCTGCGTTCCCACCTGCCTCTCCTTCATACTTATGCTGCCATAGCCTTATCTGCCAGAGCTTACATACTGCACTCACCTAACTGTTTGCACTGCCTCAAGTCTCTCCTACTTTGGCTAATTGCACATTTTATTTCCCCTACTCCTCCTGGGCTGTGCTGCCTGGAGACCCCAAATTTTCAAGATACCCTGCTGCCTGCGACATCTCCACTACCTGTGGCGCCCTTCCGGCCTGCTCACCCCTCTGCCTGTGACGCCCTTCCGGCCTGCTTGCCCTTATGCCTGTGACGTCCTTCCGGCCTGCTCGCCCTTCTGCCTGTGACGTCCTTCCGGCCTGCTCGCCCTTCTGCCTGTGACGCCCTTCCGGCCTGCTCGCCCTTCTGCCTATGACGCCCTTCCCGCCTGCTCGTCCTTCTGCCTGTGACGCCCTTCCCGCCTGCTTGCCCTTCTGCCTATGACGCCCTTCCCGCCTGCTCGTCCTTCTGCCTGTGACGCCCTTCCCGCCTGCTTGCCCTTCTGC